TCTTTGTGACCCCATTTGGGGTTTTCTTGGCAAAGATACTAGAATGGTTTGCCATTTCCTTCTCTAGCTCATTTTATAGATGAGGAAACTGAGGCAAATAGAGTTAAGTGACTAGCCCAGGATCACACAGCTAGTAAGTGCCTGTGGCCAGATTTATACTCAGGAAGATGAGTCTTCCTGAATCCAGGCCCAACGCTCTACTCACTGCACCACCCAGTTTCCCATAACTGTAGTAGTAATGGCATAAATTATTACGTTGGTTTTGCTTAAGCTGCTCTGCATCAATTTACACAGGTCTTCCCAGGTTTCTCTGAAATCTTCATATTTATTGTTCCTTATGGCATACTAATATCACATGACATTCATATATCAATTGTTTACATGTTTTCTATTGAGCACCTACTTGGCTTCCAGTTTTTTGCTGTCACAAAACAATGTTACTGTACCTTTTTTGTATTTCTGAAACTTACCTTTGTCTTTGACTAAAGGGTATGTATAATAGTGCTATTACTAATATGCTTCTTACTTGTTTCTAAAACAGTTAAGCCAATTCATACCCTACCAACAATGCATGAATATACTATATTGTGTTTGAGATGCTACAGATGAGGAAATGTTGAAAATGTAGAACTGGACTTCAAGAGAGATACTTGGGTAAGATGTCTCAATTTGGGAATCATTTACTTTCTTTTTCTCCCCTTTATTTTGGGGGGGGCAGTTGGGGTTAAGTGACTTGCCCAGGGTCACACAGCTAGTAAGTGTCAAGTGTTTGGTCTGAGGCCAGATTTGAACTCAGGTCCTCCTAACTTCAGGGCTGGTGCTCTATTCACTGCGCCACCTAGCTGCCCCAGTCATTTACTTTCTATGGGCAGGTTATTTTTTGGATTTTTTTTGCTAATTTTGCCAGTCTATTTTGTGACTTTTAATTTTCATATTAAATTGGGCTCTGCTCCTCAGGTGGAGGGGGCACTGTCTCAAGCTTTTTGCCCTAGGGGTGTGGGGCCTCACTGCTGGCTTGCTTGGATGCTGCCCGCACTGGACTACACTTCCCTTTTACCTGAGTGAGACAGACTTCCTGCCAATCTTCTAAGTTTTTTCACTCTGGAAAACTGTTTCACTCCATCGTTTTTTTTTCACTCCCTCTTTTTGTTAGTATTGCTATTCCAGAATTCATTTTAAGGCATTATTTGATAATTGTTTGGAAGTGAATTGGGGAGAGTTCAGGCAAGTTCCTGTCTTGCTCTGCCATCTTGGCTCTGCCCTCCCCAATCTCCTTGCTGTCCAGGGGCCTCTCAAAAGTCTTCTCTAGAACCACAATTTGAAAACATTGATTGGTGCTCAGCTTTCCATATGATCCAATTCTCACAGCTATTAGAAAACCTATGATTTAGGTATTCTATCAAAGAACAGAAGCTAAAGTGAGCATGAGTTAGATATTCTATAAAGACAACAATAGAAGCAACCTATTGTAGTAGAGAGAGAAAACTGTTCTGTGTATGCATTTGCATTGGTTGTGCGGCCATGGTGAACTCACTTAACCACTCTGATTATAAATTTTAGATACTTTTTTAAAGTTTAGTTAGTTATTATCTTAATTATTGTAAAATTTAATCCTACCCCTCTGCTCCTCTGACAGGTTTGTTCCAAAGTGACTTTTCTAATATATCTGCAATGCCAGTTGAGTCCCTTTGGGAAAGCTGTATCACACATCCAGCTAATAAATCCATGAAAACTTAAAACAAACAAACAAACAAACAAAAACCTGATACATTGGTAGATGGACTTTCCACACCAAGAGTTCCCTACATAGATGAAATAATGGGTCTGGCCTCTTACCCTACCCCCATGGGAGGAAAATACCAAAAAACTAGCCAGTAAAGAATAAGTCTGAAGCTCAAAGTACAAAACTACATTTTAACATTATCTATGCTGTATTGTATTTTTATTTATTTTGTTAAATATTTCCCAATCACATTTTAATGTGCTTAGGGATGCCCTCTGGAGTGTTGTACCATGCAGTCTCTCTGATACAGTCCAACCCATACTTACGCATGCTTTTTTTAATGTTCCCATAATTATTTATGGGGTTTCCATAATACAAAATGCCCACTTGAAGTCCTGGTGTTTGGTTAAAGGGCCAGAATATTCATGCCTGAAGTTTATGCCTCTTCTTCAGAGACCAGAGGCCCAGAAAGTCTAGTACATCCTCTGGTTCTCCACTGGTTTAGCAACTTTCCTTGCATTTTAAGCACTCATATCTACATGTGAAAATAGAGCTCTGGCCTCATAGTCAAAAGACTCCAAATCCTCACTCTGACTCTTTTTTTTTAAAATATAAATTTATTTAATTTTAGTTTTCAACATTTACTTCCACAAGATTTTGAATTCCAAATTTTCACCCCATTGTGCCCCTCCCCCCACCCTTTCCCCTAGTCTGCCCTCCCTTCTATCTCTTCCCCCTTTCTCTTATCCCTTTCCCCTTCTATTTTCCTGTAGGACAGGATAGATTTCTGTACCTCATTTCCTATATTTCTTATTTCCCAGTTGCGTGTGGAAACATTTTTTTTTTAAAACATGTGTTTTTAAAACTTTGGGTTCCAAATTCTCTCCCTTCCTCCCACCGCACCCACCCTCATTGAAAAGGCAAGCAAGTCAATGCAGGCCATACATGTGCAGTTATGCAAAACACTTCCATAGTAGACATGTTGTGAAAAACTAACTCTATTTCCCTTAATCCTATCCTGCCCCCCCCATTTATTCTATTCTTTCTTTTGACCCTGTCCCTCCTCAGAAGTACTTCCTTCTGATTACCCCTTTCCCAATCTGCCCTTCTCTCTATCATCCCCCTGCTCTCTTGTCCCCTTCCTCCCCTATTTTCCTGTAGGGTAAGACAGATTTCCATACCCAATTGAGTGTGTATGTTATTCCCTCCTTAAGCCAAATCCTATGAGAATAAGATTCCCTCATTTCCTCTCACCTTCCCCTGTAAGAACCTTTACTTGTCTGTTTTGTGCGAGATAATGTACCCCATTCTACCTCTCCCTTTCTCCTTCTCCTAGTATAATCCTCTCTCACCCCTTAATTTTATTCTCCAGATATCACCCCTTCATCTTCAACTCACCTGTGCCCTCTATCTATCTATCTATCATCTATCTATCTATCTATCTATCTATCTATCTATCTATCTATCTATCTATCTCTCTATGTATATATAATTTTTTCCCATGAGACAAAGGTCTCATGAGTTATAAATATCATCTTTCCATGCAGGAATGTAAACAGTTCAGCCTTAATAAGTCTCTTATGATTTCTATTTCCTGTTTACCTCTTCATGTTTTACTTGAGCCTTGTATTTGAAAGTCAAATTTTCTATTCAGCTCTGGTCTTTTCATCAAGAATGCTTGAAAGTCCTCTATTTCACTGAATGACCATTTTTTACCCTGAAGGATTATACTCAGTTTTGCTGGGTAGGTGATTCTTGGTTGTAATCCTATCTCCTTTGCCCTCCGGAATACTATATTCCATGCCCTGCGGTCCCTTAATGTAGAAGCTGCTAAATCTTGTGTTATCCTGATTGTGCTTCCACAATATTTGAATTGTTTCTTTCTGGCTGCTTGCAATATTTTCTCCTTGACCTGGGAACTCTGGAATTTGGCTACAATATTCCTAGGAGTTTTCCTTTGGGGATCTCTTTCAGGAGGAGATGGTGGATTCTTTCAATTTCTATTTTGCTCTCTGGTTCTAAAATATCAGGGCAGTTTTCCTTGATGAATTTTTGAAAGATGATGTCTAGGCTCTTTTTTTGATCATGGCTTTCAGATAGTCCAATAATTTTTAAATTCTCTCTCCTGGATCTATTTTCCAGGTCAGTTGTTTTTCCAATGAGATATTTCACATTGTTTTCTAATTTTTCATTCTTTTGGATTTGTTCTACTGTGTCGTGATTTCTCATAAAGTCACTATCTTCCAATTGCTCTATTCTAATTTTTAAGGAAGTATTTTCTTCAGTAAGCTTTTGGATTTCCTTTTCCATTTGGCCAATTTTGCTTTTTAGGACATTCTTCTCCTCATTGGCTTTTTGGACTCTTTTGCCATTTGGGTTAGGCTATTTTCTAAGGTGTTATTTTCTTCAGTATTTTTTTAGGTCTCCTTTAGCAAGCTGTTGACTTGTTTTTCATGATTTTCTTGCATCACTTTCATTTCTCTTCCCAGTTTTTCCTCTACTTCTCTTACTTGCTTCTCAAAATCCCTTTTGAGCTCTTCCAAGGCCTGGAACGGATTCATATTTTTCTTGGAGGCTTTGGATGTGCAAACTTTGACTTTGTTGTCTTCTGGTTTTATGTTTTGATCTTCTTTGTCACCAAAGTAAGATAATATAGTCTGACTCTTTTTTCGAGGTTTGCTCATGATCCCAGCCAACTACTTGAGTTTTAAACTCCTTGTTAAGTCTGCTTCCAATGTGGAGAATGTACTGTCCCAGGCTTTGGGGGTCTGTATAGCTGTTTTCAGAGATACTTCTAAGGACCTATAAATTTTTAGTTCTTCCAAGGTGGTATGATAAGGGTCAAGGTGTTTACTCTTTTCCTGGTTTGTGCTCTGGTCTTTGAGTGACTGGCCACAAGCAGTCTTTTCTCTCTTCGAACTGTGTGGTGGGTTTTCTCTCCACGGCCACTACAAGCTCCACAGCGCCAGCGCTCCTCCTCTCCCCAGGACCGTCACCCAGAACTGTGACCCAGATCCAAGCACAGGCAAAGCAAGAGAATTCTGCCTCAGCACTGCCAAAGAGATCCCTGCAGTCCCCCTCTGATCAGCCACTTGATTCCCCGTCAGTCTGTGGGCCGGAAGCTCAAGACACAGACACGGCCCCAGCATCCAAGCTCTGCACTCTGTGCTCTGGAACTGGCTCTGACCCAGCTCTTCTCTCACTGAAAAAACAGACTTGTCCCACTGACCTTCTAAGTTATCTTTGGCGTTCGTGGATTGAGGAGTCTGGAAACCGCCGCAGCTGCCTGTGATTCATTCCTCTGAGGCCTGCTCCAGGTTTGCTGGGGCCTGCACGCCCAGGCCTAACTGCACTCTTCTCCCGGCATGATATGCCTTTCTGATCAATCATTCAGGGTGTCTTGGGCTGGAAATTTGTTTTACTCTGTCTTTTTGTGGGTTCTGCTGCATTAGAATTTGTTTAGAGCCATTTTTTATGGGTATTTGGAGGGGTTTGGGGGACAGCCCAAGCAAGTCACTGCATTCACGCTGCCATCTTGGCTCCACCCCCACCCCACCCCCACTCTAACTCTTAATAGCTATGAGAGGATGACCAAATCACTTCACTTTTCCATGCTTCAGATTATTTTTAATCTGTAAACTGGGATAATAATGGGGATAACAGATGGATGGTTTGAGGGCTGTACTGGTTCACATAGACTGTTAAAATACCTTGGAAGCCTCCAGAACATATATCTTCAATCAATCAATTAATTAACAAACGTTTGTTAAGTGCCTATGTGCCAGGCACTGTGCTAAGTACCAGAGATTCAAAAAGAGGCAAAAGACAGCCCTTGCCCTCAAGGAATTTACAATCTAATGCAGAAGACAATATAAAAAAACATATATACAAAGCAAGCAATATAAGGGATAAATAGGAAATAATTAACAGAGGGAAGGCACTAGAATTAAGAGTTCATCCTCTATAGACTTATAGGACTAAGAACTGAACACCATGGGAAGACATGGAGATCTGGCATCTGTATCATTTCCTAAATTGTTCACATTGAAGAAAATACGGGGAAAATGAAATCTTGAAGTATTAGCATGAATACTCATTGCCAGAAGGGCTTGGAGGACCACCTGAACTAGCATCAGGTCTTCCTAGTGCTACTATATAGAAGGGAGGGTCCAGGGTAGCATCCTCAAACAACATTAGTGGGACAATAAGCATCAGCCGGTCGGTAGCAGAGGGCCAAGTTGGGCAGCAACAGTGTATAAAAAGGGAATGAAAATAATATGAAAGTAAACAGCAGGCTAAATAATTTATGATGGATGGGAGCACAGATGCTCATTTTACTTCAGGTAAGGGTGGGAATGTTTCCTCAAGCCAAAGCTCACTATGCAGCTTGTGCCTGCTCCACAGCTCAATAGCTCCAGAAAATAAACACAGTATTATTGTTGAAGTCAAGGTCATTGAGCTCAGAGAATCAGAAAACCACAGGATATTACAGCTGGAAGGAATCTTAGCACACAGAACATGGAATGACAGCTAGAAGGGACCTTCTAGAAGCTAGAAGATCACCTCCTCCACTCCCCTCATTTTCTTTTTTTTTAAATTTTAAATTTATTTATTTTTAGTTTCCAACCTTTACTTCCACAAGATTTTGAGTTCCAAATTTTCACCCCATCTTGACCCTCCCCCCACCCCAAGATGGCATGCATTCTGAATACCTCTTCCCCTAATCTTCCTCCCCTTCTACCTCTCCCCCCCCTTCTTTTATCAAGTTCCCCTTCCACTTTCCTGTAGGGCAGGATAGATTTCTGTACCCCATTTCTTGTATTTCTTATTTCCCAGTTGCATGTGAAAACATTTTTTTTTAACATTTTTAAAAAAACTTTGGGTTCCAAATTATCTTCCTTCCTCCCTCCCCATCCACCCTCATTGAAAAGGCAAGCAACTCAATATAGGTTATACTTGTGCAATTATGCAAAACACTTCCATAGTAGACATGTTGTGACAAACTAACTCTATTTCCCTTAATCCTATCCCGCCCCCCCCATTTATTCTATTCTTTATTTTGACCCTGTCCCTCCTCAGAAGTGTTTACTTCTGATTACCTCCTCACTCCTCTTAATTTCTTTCATTCACTCACCAACCATTTAGTCCCTCCCAAGTACAAAACACTGTGCTATGGTCCTTTTACAAAAGCATAGTCCCAACCTTTGAGCCTGCATCTAAGTAGGAGAAAGAAGATAGAGATACAAGTAGCCAGAGAAGGGAATAGGCAGGGAGCAGTCCAGAAGCTGACTGGGAACAGCTCTGAGAGTTCCAAAGGAGTGAGGATTTCTGACTAGGGGTTCAGGTGTTAGACAGAAGGGGCTGACCAATAGGAGCAGTGTATACTCTGCCTGCTGCCAAACCATCTTGGGAGGTTTGGTGAAATCTGACTCTGGAAGTTCATGGTGATGCATAATAGAGAGCCTGCTTTCCACTTCAGAGCATGGGCAGTTTGGTTAGATAACTATGTGGTGAAGAAACAGGACTTAATTGGCTGCTAAGCAGGAGTTAGAACTATATACAAAAGTTTCCCTTGGCATAGGAGGCATAGGAAAGATTTCAGGGAAGGGGAATGGGCTGTGTAACCCTAGACAAGATTATATCTTTCAAAGAAGGTGCTGGTCTGCATTGCTAAAGGGAGTTCCTCACAAGAAGCTCCCTATCACAGGTCCGCGCAAAAAAAAAAAAAATTTTTTTTTTACTATGGACATGTCATTCCTCTACTAAGAAAAAAAAGAATAAAACTTTTAATAGCTCTCTGTTGCTTACTGAATAAATGCTGATCTTGTCATTCAAGGCCATCTGCAATTTATTCCCACTACTTGTCCAGGTTTATACTTTTTTTTTTAAGGCAATTGGGGTTAAGTGACTTTCCCAGGGTCACACAGCTAATAAGTGTCAAGTGTTTGGTCTGAGGCTAGATTTGAACTCAGGTCCTCCTGACTTCAGGGCCGGTGCTCTATTCACTGTGCCACCTAGCTGCCCCTACACTTTTCTTAATTGTGTAGTAGAGAATCCAGACAAAATAGACTCTTCTTGTTCCCCACCCTCACTTGTCATAGGATGAGGTTAGAGTCTGTGCCATATCTATATTTGCATGCTTATTTCAATGTCAATGAATCTGTAATTTCACCAATGTGGGTCCCCCCTCCAGTAGTTGAAATAGCATCTCATCTATACCTTCTCACGCCATGCAAACCTTGTTCGTGTCCTATAAATCCTCCAAAGGGTAGGTCCATTCAGTATGCTAACGACCCTCCTTTAGGTAGCTCTCTTGGCATTGCCTGGTTGCCAACAGAACACACTGGCTTTCCACTGGGAGCTCCCCTCTGATGCAGTGCTAGTCTTTGCATTAACCTTAACAAAGTAAGGGTTTTTGCACTTATAAATGGAAGTGGATTGGTTGGGGTTGGCCTTTACCCAGGCAGTGATCCAAGCAAAAAAACAATTTAAGACCCATCGTGTTGACACAGAAGGATGGGGGATGAGGGCTGGGCAGGAACACAGGTGAAGTTGAACGTGACTGACTGACTGTCTGAAACATCTACTCATACCTGGGGAGCATCTGAGCAGGAAAAGCACCATAAACAATGCTTGTGTACTTTCAAGCTAGCTTATCCTTGTGGCAAGTAGTGAGAATGTTTGGATAAAGTACAGGAGCAGCATGATGGAAAATGCTATCCACATCCAGAGAAAGAACTATGGAGTTTGAAAGCAGATCGAAGCATATTATTTGTTCTTTTTTTTTCTTCTGTTTTGGTTTGTTTCCTCTTTCTTGTGGTTCTTCCTATTGGCTCTAATTCTTCCTTACAACATGACTAATGTGAAAATGTGTTTAATAGGAATGTGTATATAGAGCTTATATCAGATTGCACACAGTCTTGGGGAGGGAGGGAGGAAGGGAGAAAAGGGGGGGAGAAAAATTTAACTCAAAAGCATATGGAAGTGATTGTCAAAAACTAAAAATATATTAATAAAAAAAAATAAAGTAGGACCAGGATAAGGCTTATAGGAGTGGTTCAGGTAGAAGGGTCTTCTTGGTAATTCCTTGGCTCTCTTTTTGTGCTTACTGTCAGCTGCTGATCCCCTAAAAGAGAAGGTCCTGAGCACAGGGTGTGTGTGTGTGTGGGGGGAATTCTCTGGATTGTGATTATCATTGAATTACTCCTGAATCTAGACTAGGGGTTCTTAACCGTTGTATATTTTGTTCTCTGTGTGTGTGTGTGTGTAAGTATATATATATGTGTGTGTGTGTATGTGTATGTATATGTTTGTTTTATATATTTTATTATATATTTATATTTTATTATATATTTATATTTTCTTATATATTCTTAACCTTTGTTTTATATTTGTCAATATGTTGAAACTAATAGTCACCTTCTCAGAATAATGTTTTAAAATTCATACACACATAGGATTATAAAGGAAATTAAATATATTGAAATGAAGATCAATTATTTCCCTAAGTTTATAAGACCTCCTGAAATTTACCCACAGACCTCTTAAAGATCCATGAATCCCAGGTTAAGAACCTTTTGTTCAGACATAAGTCACAGCAGAAAGGAAAAGACGTTGAAGAAATTGTACCACCCTCTTTTCCAACTCCCCTTTATGTTTTGTCTTCTCCTATTAGAAGATAAGGTTGTTGAGAGTAGGGACCATCTTGTTTGATTGTTTTTGTATTACCAGCTCTTATAACAGCGCCTGGCATCATAGTAAGAACTAAATGCTCCATCTATCTATCTAAGTATCTATACACGTATCTAACTATGTATGTATGTATGTATGTATGTATGTATGTATGTATGTATGTATGTATCTATCTATCTATCTATCTATCTATCTATCTATCTATCTATCTATCTATCTATCTATCCAGCCTGCTCCGGCTATGACTACCAGTCCTAGTAAACCTACTACTTCCTTAAGTACTCCATCTGATCATTATTAGGAAGAGTTTCCTTACATTGAACAGAAATATCCCTCTCTTCAACTTATCATTGTAGAGTCAGGCCTTGGAGGTAGGAAGGTCCCAGGGAAGTTCACATGTGGATTCTTTTTACAGCAAAAGGCCAGACTCCTTTTCATTTCTATCAAGAGTCTCTGTGCTTTCTCCTGAGCCAGCACCTTTGGCTTTGGTGCAGAAAAGAGAGGGTTTGGTGTTTCATATGCCTAAGAGAACAGAATGCTCCTGGAGCCTCGTGCTCTGCTTCTCTGTGGAGTTGGAGGGAATGAGGAGATGAGCTGGTCATCTTACTGGAGGCCTCCTCATCTC